TTAAAAAAAAACCTTGGATGTAGATTGTAAATGTCAGACTATAGCCTTTTATTATAGTTGGACCTTTGAATCACTTGTATTAAATGGCAATGCAATAGAAATTGACATGAAGCAAAGTTATCAGGAGGAAGATATGAAGAACTCACATTTTTGTAATTCTCAATGTTGTTGTGGAGCTACAATTCACCCAATCCCAGGGAGTTGGAACACAAGGATCCCCTTCATCTACTGACAGACTTTCGGCAGACATGAAGCGAAGGGCATTGAGAACACTCACTACCAATTAAAAACCAAAAATTATAATCAGCTCATCATAGTAAAGCACAGTCAATCTGATGCAAAAACTTTTAGTTATACAACCAATAAGATCATGGACTTACAATCTTGCCTATCAGTCTTCGCAGCAATTCGTACATATTTACTTATCTCCAGTGCATTTAGAAGCGGCCCTCGAGTAGAATCGGGGGTCTTCCTAAAGGAAAATGACAGAACAAACTCCAGGCTCGCATTCATGTAGCTCGGCTCGTAAAGAGTGTAGTCCCCATTTGCATTTTCAGCAATATTTACCACTGCATTGTTAGAGTCACCCAATGAAGGTTGCTCCAATTTGAATTTTCGACTTTCATCCGCACCCAAATCCTCTATTTCTGCAAAGTAAGCATAAGCTCGAGCATTTGCTGGGAAACCATCAAGATTCAGTCTGTAGCTCAACAGTCCTTTTGTGCCAACAACTGCAGTCTGCATTACTTTAACAGGTGGATATTCTCTACTATTTGTGTTTACATCCCTTGATGTATTGATTCTTTGTGTTCCTGAGGCCACCCCTACCAGATAATTTTGCCTTTTCACAAGATCAGAATCCCAAATTCTGTCATATGGATCATCTGGGTACCTGAGCAAAACAATATATTTTCACTGAAAGGTATCGAATGACTAGATTTATAACAAGCATTCAAACAAACTTATTCAAAAACTTAATAATTGCTCAGCTATGGTGTTACCTTATGACATCTATGCTTGGAGCACCAAAATTCACTCTAGCTGCCACTGTCAAGAAGAAATGATCCTCATAATCTGTAGCATACATGGAAAGATTCAAAGGCCTCAGCTCCAGAGTGGATATAAATGGAAACCCAGTTGTTGCACAGCATATGCACACATCAACCGAACCGGACGATGCCCTGATGATCATTTCATTCACATATGTTCTTGAAGCATTAAATATGGTCACAGTAGACCACTGAGTAGCATCCAAGTAAAGCTCAAACTTGGGGTAAGTGTCTTCACTTTTCAGGCTGCCATATTGAAATGTTGCTCTGATTAGATACCTCCTCCTCTCTTCTGTGCTCAAAGTGTAGCAATACTTCTTGCTGTCTATGGGAAAATCTCTGCGCCACTGATACTGCATCAAGTTTCCATTTGTGTTTTCTACTTGTACTGATTTTCCCTGGCTCATGAGCCCCAAGTCTGAAATCCATGCTAGCCCAGTACTTGGGTCAGTGTAATTTCTTGTCCCTCCACAATCTATACTTACAAACTCTGCACATGCAATTTTAGCAGAAAGATATTGCAAGCTTATTTTGAAGTAAAAAGCTCTTCAAAATTTTAAAAATAAAAAAAAACCAGAAGAATCACATACCTTTAACTTGGCACACAACAGATGATGCAAAGTAAAGAAAAATGACCAGGCAGTTGAAGGATGAACTCATTGAACATGGCATGAGAAAGACAAAATAATTCTTTTGAAGCTTACCAGTGTTCAAAATTTGAGGTTTATTGATGGAAGAGGTTGAAACTGTTTGTTAAGCTCCAAATGGTCCAATCTGTGGTACACCACTTACCTTTCACTTTTTATTGATTGATGAAATTGTGGAATGTTCATTCACGTTCGTTTCTTTTTGCCATTTTGGAATCTTCTTTTTCCCAATCAAAATAATGGTTTCTGTTTCATTTTTGAGTTTGCGTTTCCTTTTACTTTGAAAAAGAGTTTGACACAAAAACTTCACTATCACGTGTAGATATTCTCTTTTTATTTTGTTCCATCTCTAATTATACGATAAGTTTTAAGAGTGTAAAGAGTGAATGTATATCCCAGTCTCATGTAAATTCTTTCCACTCCATACAGAATTCATTGTGTAAGTAAAAACAACTTTTAGCATTGTTTTTTGGCTTTTTCTTTTTTCTTTTTTAAATTCAAACACCCAAAAAATCAAGATGGCCCATAGTTTGAGATTTGAGAAAAAGATATCACAGAGGCCGCAGGATTTATCTCATCTCAACCAATAAAAAATAAATAAAAACTATTTGTGATATTTTGGCACCTAAATTGAAGATACGGGTTCTTGAAGATTTGGAGGTGAGTTGTCGGTAGAAGTAGGGGGTGGCCTGGGGGTATACAAGTGGTGTCATTGTACAGGGCTCCAAATTTTTAAGGGCACTCAAATTTTTTTACGTGTATATTATGTACATTAATGTTATAGGTATAGTATTATATATATACTTGAGTGTGTACGAAAGTAACACAAGTGTGTATTTGGTTGAGTTGGAACTCATTCCCTTGATTTTAGTAGGCAAGTTGGACCCGAGTCCATATTGTGTTATTCAGGAGTTGTATTTTTACATTTCAGTCGTTGTCATTCAAAGAAGAGGAAAGCAATATATACAAGCTCTCTCCAATCAAACAAAAAAAATTGGAGTGTATGTTTTCATCCACTCAAAATGAAACAAAAAAAGTTCATATCTTCTTCCTCTTTAATTTTCTTAAATTGAAACATTAAAACTTTTATGAATGTTATTTATGATTGCCATTGCATGCTAATAGATGATGAATTTTAGTTATTAAAAAAAATTGTTTTATGGTGTTAAGTCATGAAATTTTTTTTACAAATATTTTCATATTAAATTGAGAGCTCCCGTTTAAGTTTCGCATAGGGCCCTCAATTTCTCAGAACCGAAGCTTGGTACAAGCAATTAGTTAATTCAATGACATTGTGTAACTTTCTTGTAGTATTGTATAATAAGCATAATAAAACAATAAAAATGTAACTTTGGTGCGAATATATATAGTCTAATTATGGAGGTTCACAAACCACAAAAGGCTTGTGTCCATTGATTGAAGAGAAAATACATATTACCTCAAACAAAACAAAGAAGTGAGAAAATGCCCGGGTCTAAACCGAAGAAGAAAAAAACAAACAAAATGACTAGATAGATTGCTTATTCCCTTCTTCTTCTTCTTCTTCTTCTTACTCAAAAAGGTAAAATAGGAAAGTGAAACAAGTTAGAGATATTTAGTCATATACTCATTCTTAGCACTAATAATATAGATAAACCCTACACCATTTAATTTCTATAAACAAACCCAAAAAGAACTTAAAAAATGACGGCTGACCCTATTGAATTTAATTTTAATTATTAAATTACTTTGATACCCTATTGAGTACTTTGGGTTTTTTTATGAGGTTTTGTGGTTGGGCTTGTTTTAAGAAATTGATGGCAGTTTTGTAATTTATAAGAAGTTAAAAGACTCTTTGTTATGTTGTAAATGAGCTTTGAGTGTGTTTCTAAAGTCTATTTCATATAAGGTATTTTTATAATTTGGGTCCTTATATTGGGTATAATAATGAATCTCCCAAAAAGTTATTACTGATTCTTTGGATGTAAATAATAAAAGTGTAATAAACTTAGCTAAAATCTAAAATCTTACTTATATATAATTAAATATTAAGAAAATGATATTAGAAACTATAATTTGGATGAAAATAATAAAAGTGTCACGGGAGGTAAGAATGATGAAGATGACTGAAAACCTGGACGATGCTAAAAGCATCTTTAATCTTTAATGAAAGAAAAAGGGAGCAACATTACAAGGACTTTGGCATTTGAAGTTGACAGTCTCTGCTTTAAAATTGGCTTTTGCTTTTGCTCACAACTAAATCTCTTTTCTCATTTTCCCTTTGGACCAACTTGTCTTTAGCTTTTCTTAACTTTGAAAAAAGTATGAAGATGATGCGTTCATGCACCCCTTTTTTATCTTGGTCTTGGACGCAATCGCCACTAGCCCCCCCATCTCTATCATCACCAATAATAACCCAAAACAACCTTAGCCAATTGTTTTATTATAAAAAAAACCCCAAAATAAATTCACCAATTTCAAGTAGTAGATGGGTATACGCAAATAGGATCATATGTCTCAGGTTCGAACCTCCGTTGCATTGCAATTGTGTTGTGTGTGTGCGCGAGAAATTCTCTACTAAAAAAGGTAGATGGATGTATTAATGAAATATTTATTGTGTACTTTTGCAGTTGCAGATTCACGGGGCCCATCAAAGCAGAAGCTCTATTGGGCTCAGATCTTGATTGTGAAGGATGGACAGAGAGTAGAAAGTAAATTATGGGCTGAAGTCCATTCTGAGGGTCCACTACGTCAAACCTTGTTCACTTGTCGTTATTCATTTCACTAATAGTAAAGTTGGTTCCTTGAACTCTCCTGGCCCTACACGCTAGACATATAGCAATCAATCGGTCATGTCGAAGTTGCTCTTCTTCCAGCAATAGCCAATTCCATCACAGCAAAGCAATGTTAGCATCAGTCGCCCACGTGGGATACATTACTACTAACCAAAATATCTTTCAATTTATTATGGTTGTGTTGTGCATAGCACAAATAACCTTTGAAACATCAACGGCCAGAATTAACGGATGCTCTAGCATGTTATGGTGATTTACTACTACACCCCATATGGGAAGTCATATTTGTTGGATAATGGTGATGTGGTACGGCCCAAATGTGCAAAACAAAGCAAACAAACAAACAAACAATGCGGTTTCGGTCATTTGGGCTACTAACGGCCCAAATACTTTTACTAATATATTTATTTTTTATTCTTTTATTTTGTTTTTTTAATCGAACTGGTAGGACCCAACAAATTTATTTTTAATAATTTCCTTCCAAAGTATCAATTATTATCAAGAGTAAGAGTTGGTCTTTGGAGGGAAGGGAGGGCAGGGAGCCCAAACTGCAGTTGATAAAATAATGAAGGCAACATGAGAAAGAGAAGGCATCCCTTTCTTTCCTTAAGTGTGAAAGGTTTGAACACTAAGCAAGGCTTGGCTCTCTCTCTCTCTCTCTCTCTCTCTCTCCTTTTTTAAACCCACCATCTAATGTCTCCCACCCCAAACATTCATCAACAAAAACAAAACCAAACCAACTCCCACCCAAAAGGGTCACTCTTTTCATCTTATCCCTCACCCTCTTTCCGCTTTTGTCTTTCTATTCCTTCTGTTTTCTCCTTCCTAACTCAAAAGGTAGAAAGAACATATGTGGCAAGCACAGGCCAGCAAATCTTCTTATGGAGAATCTATCAAAGCTCTTGAAGCTGACATACAACATGCCAATAGCTTGTGAGTCATTTTTTCCTTCAAAAAAATCTATTTTTGGTTGTATATTTTTATGATCAAGTTCGGTTCTTTATTGTTGATCAGTCAAAAACTATGGAATTCATATGCATTTGCGTTAGTTGTTTGTTTTCCTCTTCTGGGTAGTTTGTTGTGGTGTTAATTTAACTCAATTGTGGTTGTTGGGTGGTATTTCTCATTTAAGAGGGAAGGTAAAGTTGGTTGTTTGTGCCAAATTGCCAATTTACTTGCTTCTCTGGAAAAAGAAAATCCCCATTTTCGTGTCATAGACTGCTCTTGTTTCTCCCTGATAATTGTCGTGTGAACTTTTGTTGTTATATAGGCTTAATTCCTCAGGTTCAAATACATTTTGATCTTTGTTTGGCAAAAAAAAAAAAAAGATCCTTTTTTCATTGGTTTTTGAGATGGGTTTTTGCAGGGCAGCTGCTCTTCCCAAAGATTATGGTGGGAACTGCATCCAAATGAGATTGTCTTATAGCCCCTTTGCCCCCATTTTCCTGTACTTCATTGAATGGATGGATTGTAGTTGCACCGATATACTCCCCAATTATTTAGGCCTTCTCCACATACTTGTATACAAGGTGGGCTCTCCTTTCTTTTATGCTTTTTTACTTATTTTTTGTTGCCTAAGATTCCAAATTAAGCTTTACATAATTGTGCAGGTTTATATGGATGGAATGCCTTCAATGTCCTCCAAAGAACAGAAGGTCACTTTAAGGGAGTTTTATGGTATGCTATTCTCTAGTTAATTAGCTTCTTATTAAATACATAGCCCTTCTTGGAAAATAAAAAATAAAAAATTTGTTTTGACATCTGAGTGCATTCTGCTGGAAATCATTGCAGCTGTAATATACCCTTATCTTAGACAACTTGAAGGCGAGTTTAACGAACTGGAAGATAATAATAATAATAATAATTACAATAATAAGAAAAGCCGATGCACAGATGTTTTGAGCCGAAAGAAGATGGAAGGCTGGAGGAAGCTGTCAGATAAAGATCAAGATAGAGATGATGAATGTGGAATATGCATGGAAAACTGTACAAGGATGGTGTTGCCCAACTGTGGGCATTCCATGTGCATCACCTGCTTCCATAATTGGTACCATCAATTGCCCTTTTCACTTGTTCTTGTTTCAGAAAATTGGAAAGCATTTTACATACTGGGGATAACCTGTGAAAAATATTTGTTCTGTAATGTACTTGAATTGAATTGCAGGAATGCACGATCACAATCCTGCCCTTTTTGCCGTGACAGCCTAAAGAGAGTCAGCTCTAGAGATTTGTGGGTTCTCACTAGCAACTGTGATGTGATTGATACAGTTACCCTTGCCAAGGAGAACCTAAGACGTTTCTATCTTTATATTGAAAATCTACCTGTAGTTGTGCCTGCAACACATGTTGTGGTATATGATTACATGCTCTGACCTACAGAGGAAGAATGAAGTTGCAAGCTACACAAAATGCTGAATGCCCTACTGTATATAGTCTAAAATAGGGAAGTTCAATGTAAACTACCATGGCAGGTTGAGCAGGTGTTTCATGGTAGCTGTATATAGTAAACTGAAATACCGAATGCCTGTTTTTAGGCGATGAGAAGGTAGCTTTGGAGATTCTTGAGTTACATCAAGGAGTAGCTTGCCAGCCTCCAGTGACAAAGGCACCTTCAAGTCTGGCAACAGCACTGAAAATACTAGGATTGATATGTATAACCGGTATGCCTGGCATTCATCTCAGCTTTTTGGAACCTGAGTGTTGGAATGGAAGGCAAGTAATTTCCTAGTACTAATGGTTTCTGGCCATTACTCCATGATATGTTACAACTTAATGAGAAAACTTACAATATCCAACACTTTTTACTGTCTGGAATCTGTTTATAGTAAAAAAGCTATCATATCCTTAATTCTTGTCTTTCTTTTCATTGATGGAGGAGGGGAGATTCGAACATGGGAAATCTTCCAACATTGTGAAGAGAGAGGATAATAGTTTTCACATTGGTATGAAACTGTGGCCTTAGGAAAACTGTAGTCTGAAAACAATCCTGAGCTTGATTGTGCTCCAATCCAGCCCTTGAAATCACCACTGCCGAGAATCGGTAAATGTAGGAAAGGCAGGTCCCATAAACCCTGAGGATAGCCAAATGCTCAAAGAGGTGGGTGAGCTTTGTGCCTACCTTGTGATGATGAACAAACACATATCCTCCCCTCCACAGGAAGCAAACTAGTATGCTTTCATGTTAAATCCGGCTGCCTAACTTCACTGGAGGGCTTAAATTATCTTGACTGCATCGTTAAGCAACCTGCATACTTATTGACGTGCAATAATGTCACAATATTTTGTCCCACAAAATTACCAAAAAAGGAAAAAAAGATTAAACAGAAAAATCAGTAGTATAATTGTGTATTTACCTGTTAAATACAAGAGCAAAGTAGGTTCCAAATTCCAATGTCCTAAATCATTTCAGAAACGAACAGGGAAATTGCCAAGTTGCCAACTTGGTCCATTATCATCAGTGCATGCATGTTGCTAGGGCGGCAGCATTACAATCTCATAATATCTATGTGCATTTTAATGGGCAAAACAAAAATAAGAAATATAATTCATAATTCATGATAAAACTTGGGGTCAGTGATTGATCATCACCATCATTGTAACAGTTAAAAAAGAGATAGTGTAAAACAAAACTATAAAAAATAATAATTAAAAAAGTTAATTAAAAAAAAAAAGAATAAACAGGTAAGAACAGGGGAAGCATCATAGGAGAGCATAAGGGCAGAGCCATATTCTAACTTTTAAATAAACAAATAAAAAGGCACTCCACTTATGAGAAGTTGCATGGAGTTCATCCTGCTAATTTGTTAGTCACCAATCATGCCCACCCTCTTTTTAAGTAAATTATTGTCTTTGGAGATAAAGAATTTCTAAGTGGGCATTTCCTTTTAGAGCCATTGAGTTTTTATTTCTCAAACTCCTTTTCTACCCCACTCTCCTAAAGTATGCCTTTAAGCCTTTAAACCCCCCCAAAGTTTTTCCTGTGAGAGTTGAAGGATTAAAAAAAAACATTGAGGGTTAATGGCTCAGCCACTAATGGAGAGAAACTCTTATGTAATGAGGATAACACTTTTTGCTATCTACGGTCAATAACACAATGACATGTAGGATAACTTTTCCACGTGTTATTGTGTTATTGACCAGGGATAACAAAATAATGTTGTCCCCGTTACAAGTAAGGTTTTTTTTGTCACTAATGAGGCTCACTCACACCACATGGAAAACTCTTAGCATCTTGTGCAGCACAAAGTGCTCCAAGCAAACTTGTTCTTGCTGAGTTTGCTGGTCAAGAAACTTAATTAAGTGATCATTAGCAGCAAATAAAATAATTCTTTTAATTTAAATGGAGTTTCAAAAAAGATGCCACTATCCTTCCTAGCTCCGATCTTTTTCTGCTTAGGGGTATCGTGGCCTCAATTAACGATGATGATTGATTAGCCAGCCTATCTCACTCATCCTTCCAATGGCTTATTCTCAACTCATAAATATTTCAAGAAATCTGCTAACTTTGTAAAAATTATTATTATTATTAATTTTAAATTTTTTACGCATGGACCCTTATGTCACTGAGTGCATGTCATCTTTCCAGAGGCCCTGCTAGCTATTGGAGTAATTAGAAAGCAGTTTAAGGATTAATTCTTTGTTAAAAAGTTAATGTTCCTTCCAGATTAGCATCAAGCACCTCAGTTCCTTTCTAATACAAAACTTAATGTTGTTTTGGAATCTCTCTAATTCCACTTCAATTTCATGTTTAAAAGATGACAAAAATCAAAGACTGATATGCACGCACTAATTACATAGAGACAGAACACACTGTGTCATTTGATTGCTGATGTCTTTTTTTTTCTTTTTTGCTGAACAGCTGATTAATGTTGTCAATGTAAACCAACAAGGATGTTTTGTCCTTCTCTTATTGGATAAGCATTCTTAAAAATTCTCTGTTGTGTTTTGCTTCTCACAATGTGCCATGCATTTGCCTAAAATATTGAGTGCAACTTTACCGTAAGTACATAAAGATGCTTTAAACTATATGTTTTTTTTTCTTGCTGGGCAATGGCATTATTAAACAAGTAAATGAAAAGGGTTCTTCATGCTTCCACTTTCATTGAAGGATTTGGATAATGTGTTACGAGACTGGTCTTGAGATCATGCATGCCTTACAAAGCATTGGTTGAAGATAATAAAAGGTCAAATTTTGTGAGTTTGGGACCAATTGGATTTCAGCTGTCTTCAAGTCCAGATATTCCTGGCTTTGTCCAACCACTACAAATCTGGTTCAAACGACTGTTTTTGTTTTGTTTTTTTTTTCTGCTTTGTCTCTCAAATGCATTCCATGTTCCCTCAAACCCTTCTTTATTGTTTATCCAACATGAACTTCAAATTGTTTCATCTTCCTCTCAAGGACTACAAGAATAAACAATACATCTTTAACCCAACAAAGCAGGGGCTGCAACATTGAAGTGTTATTTTGTCTTTCTGGTTAGCATAGTTCATCATCCATCATTTTACACCCGAGTTTGATCTTCAACTAATATAGAATATCGCTTTAGATAAAGAAAAAAACTTGAGAAATAGTAATATGGTTAAATCAAACTTTGTGTCTAATTGAAATTGCTGAATTAAGCTACCTGTATATCATTTATAAGATGCCTTATTCATTCAAACATTCTTTCACAAATCACAAACCCCACCCCGACCCCCACCTTTAGATTCTACCTCTTTAAGATTCTAAACCCAATTTCTCGAAGTTACCATTTTGTTTCACTTTCCCATATTCTTTTTCAACACCAAAGGTAAAAATTGTGTGGCTTTTTCTTCTTCCTAATCATACCCCCCATACAATTTCCCTTTTTTTTTTTTTGGTTTAGCAAAATGCAAATGCGATTAAAGCCTAACGTGAACCACGGGGACCGTTAGATATCCGGCGCCAAATATTCGTTGGTTCTCTCTCTCTCTCTCTCTCTCTAAAAAGCTTCCCATAAAATCCAAAGAAAGCCATTTTTTTAAATTTGGAGACACTCCTAAGCTATATAGTCTCATTTGAGCTGTAAGTCCCACTCTACCCCCTCCACTTCAATCTTAACTCTTCCATCTTTAACTTTTTCCTAATGGAGAGTAGCTTCTCTTCTCCTCGAAACGATTCGTTTCCGGCTGGCCTCCGAGTTCTCGTCGTCGATGATGATCCAACTTGGCTTAAGATCTTAGAGAAGATGCTCAAGAAGTGCTCCTATGATGGTTATTTTACGCTATCTCACTTTGTCACTGTTCCTCTGTTTCAATCATAATTTAAAGCTTTAGTCTTTCTCTCTCTCTGTTTTCTGAATTATTTCTTATGTTTGGTTGGTTTCTCTGATTGTTTTGGTGATTTTCAGAGATGGGTTTTTTGAGTTATGGGTTAATTTGGACAACAAGGGTAATGGGAGCTTAGTTAAATGTTCATCTAGGGACTTAACTCTCTGTATATGGAATTCAAGATTCATGCTTTATGTGAAGGTATTAAGGCAATATTCCTTGCATAACAGAGAAAATGGGGTAGAACTTAGAAGTTGGTCTAATTGTCTAAGGCTGGCTGATGATGCTTTTGTGAATTACTCCATATGGGTTTCTTGAAACCGATGATTATTATTATCTTTTTCTAGAAGCAAAAACTTAGTTGGCAGTTTCCTTTTAATTAAATTGATTATCAGAAATGATCAGGGTTTAGTTGAGAAGAGCATTTGATTGTATTTCCCTTCATCAACCTGCTGCTTTGGCCCTTCTACAGGCTGCTTTGCAGTAGGATAATGATAATGTGATAGCAGTGCAATTAGGCACAAGGTGTTTCCTTTATTAGCTAGTTTAATCGAGTTTTGAACATTGATTTCTCTATCCAATATAAATGCTTAAAGTTGGTCGATTTCGGATAACTGGAGTGTTCAGCATTCTTTGGTACCTCTGGTAGTGTACTTGTATAATTGTTATCCAGATGAGTTGTATGGACAAATGGGCACAATTAATTACTCCCCAAATCCTGCATTCATTCTTGGATTTCTGATTTCAAGCCTCCTTTAGCACATTTTCCTTTATATCCTTGTTTCAACTATGTCCATGAAAGGCTTTTTTCTAGCAACATTTACCCTTTGTCTATTATGACCTTCATCATTACCTATGTCTATTATATTATATTCCTGGTCTTGTCATGTTGATTTAAAGACTGCGTTTTAATATTCTTACATTCTTGTATGCTCTATCATCTTTGTTCAATCGAATTTTCGAAGTATTTCACAGGAAACTGAAGTACTCTTACAGTCACTGCTCAAGACACATAGCTTTACAATAGTTCCTTTGATTATGTTTGGGATATTCTCATGTATGCTTTCTTTTAAATGATCTGAGCAAGATAGAGAAGGCTTCCATTTAAAATGCTGGACAACTGATTTTACTTTTCAAGTTCTTAGTCCCACTCATTTAAAAAAGGATTTCTGTCAGTCTTACAGGATTTTATTTTTGTCTGATTAGTATACAGGATGACTTTGGCCAGTCTGACTATATATTCAACTTTCCAACCCAGTCTATGATGATATCATCAAATTTTCATCAATTCTGACTAGTTTTTTCTTTCCCCTTCTCTGTGTTTCAGTGACTACATGTGGTTTAGCAAGAGAGGCTTTAAACTTGCTTCGTGAAAAGAAAGATGGATATGACATTGTAGTCAGTGATGTGAACATGCCTGACATGGATGGTTTTAAACTTCTCGAGCATGTTGGACTTGAGATGGATCTTCCTGTTATTAGTCAGTACTCTGCCATCTGACATAAGCTTCGTCTTC